AGAGAGAGAGAGAGAGAGAGAGAGAGAGAGAGAGAGAGAGCTTCGGGCAAAGCAACTGACTTGAAGCAGCTGACACGAAGCAGCTGACCCAGAGCAGACCCAAAGTTGGCCACAGCTGACCCGAAGGGCCGAACCCGATACGAAGCACCTAACACAAAACAGACCTTGAGCTGATTTATCTCTTGTAATAAGCACAAGAGAGAGAGAGAGAGAGAGAGAGAGAGAGAGAGAGAGAGAGAGAGAGAGAGAGAGAGAGAGAAGGTAAGCCTCCAACCTCACGACTGGACTCCTGGTACTTCCATCGATTGGATGAGCAAAATCAAATGTCTCTACCGCCAGAACATGGAAATATACACTGCGCACAATCGTGCAGCACACCAGACGTGCGCAGCGCAATGTGCAGCGCGCACTGCGCACCCAGATGCGCACGCACCTCGGGTCCGCGCGCAGCGCACCACGCAGCGCACAGTGCCGGTGCACCGCAAGTATGAATCATACTTAATGATGATGGTGATTAGTATATAAAAAATATAGAAGACTATACTATATCAGCCATTCTGGCCTCCTAATCCTATAACAACTCCTAGCCCTCCCTGTACCAGGACATTACATCTCAGAGACAGTGTGATCCAAACCAACATAATAAGCAAGAGAGAGAGAGAGAGAGATTCAGGCAAGGCAGCTGACTTGAAGCAGCTGACACGAAGCAGCTGACCCAGAGCAGACCCAAAGCTGGCCCCAGCTGACCCAAAGGGCCGAACCCGATACAAAGCACCTGACACAAACAGACCTGAAGCTGATTTATTTCTTGTAATAAGCACAAGAGAGAGAGAGAGAGAGAGAGAAAGAAGGTAAGTCTCCAACCTCGCGACTGAACTCCTGGTACTTCCAACGATTGGATGAGCAAAATCAAATGTATCTACCGCTAGAACATGGAAATATACATTTCGCACAATCGTGCAGCACACCAGACGTGCGCAACGCAATGTGCAGCGCGCACTGCGCACCCAGATGCGCGGCGCGCGCCGATGCGCACGCACCTCGGGTCCGCGCACAGCGCACCACGCAGCGCACAGTGTCGGTGCACCGCRAGTATGAATCATACTAATGACGATGGTGATAAGTATATAAAAAATATAGAAGACTATACTATATCAGCAATTCTGGCCTCCTAATCCTATAACAACTCCTAGCCCTCCCTGTACCAGGACATTATATCTTAGAGACAATGCCATCCAAACCAACGTAATAAGCAAGAAAGAGAGAGAGAGAGAGAGAGAGAGAGAGAGAGAGAGAGAG